TCCCTGGAGGGGTGGGAGGGGCACGAAACCTGATGAATAATATGGTGTGCGAATACCCTGCCCGCTCTGGTGGGGCCTCCCTGGAGGGGTGGGAGGGGCACGAAACCTGATAAATAATATGGTGTACGGATACCCTGCCCGCTCTGGTGGGGCCTCCCTGGAGGGGTGGGAGGGGCACGACACCTGATAAATAACATGGTGTGCGGATACCCTGCCCGCTCTGGTGGGGCCTCCCTGGAGGGGCGGGAACGGCACGAAACCTAATAATGAAATGTGGCGTGCGAATACCCTGCCCGCTCTGGCGGGGCCTCCCTGGAGTGGCGGGAGGGGCACGAAACCTGATACATAATATGGTGTGCGAATACCCTGCCCGCTTTGGTGGGGCCTCCCTGGAGGGGTGGGAGGCACATGAAACCTGATAAATCATATGATGTGCGAATACCCTGCCCGCTCTGGTGGGGCCTCCCTGGAATGTTGGGAGGGGCGCGAAACCTGATAAATAACATGGTGTGCGGATACCCTGCCCGCTCTGGTGGGGCCTCCCTGGAGGGGTGGAGGGGCACGAAACCTGATAAATAACATGGTGTGCGAATACCCTGTCCGCGCTGGTGGGGCCTCCCTGGAGGGGTGGGAGGGGCACGACACCTGATAAATAACATGGTGTGCGAATGCTTTGCTCGCTCAGGCGGGGCCTCCCTGGAGGGGTGGGAGGAGCACGAAACCTGATAAATCATATGGTGTGCGAATACCTTGCTTGCTCAGGCTGGGCCTCCCTGGAGGGGTGGGAGAGGCACGAAAATTATAAACAACATGGTGTGCGAATACCCTGCTCGCTCAGGCGGGGCCTCCCTGGAGGGGTGGGATGGGCAGGATACATGATAAATAACATGGTGTGCGAACACCCTTCCCGCTCTGGTGGGGCCTCCCTGGAGGGGTGGGAGGGGCACGAAACTTGATAAATAGCATGGTGTGCGAATACCCTGCTCGCTCAGGCGGGGCCTCCCTGGAGGAATGGGTGGGGCAGGAAACCTGATAAATATCATGGTGTGCGAATACCCTGCTCGCTCAGGCGGGGCCTCCCTGGAGGGGTGGGAGGGGCACGAAACCTGATAAATAACATGGTGTGCGAATACCCTGCTCGCTCAGGCGGGGCCTCCCTGGAGAGGTGGGAGGGGCACGAAACCTGATAAATAACATGGTGTGCGAATACCCTGCTCGCTCAGGCGGCGCCCCCCTGGAGGGGTCGGAGGGGCACGAAACTTGATAAATAACATGGTGTGCGAATACCATGCTCGCTCAGGCGGGGCCCCTCTGGAGGGGTGGGAGGGGCGCGAAACCTGATAAATAGCATGCTGTGCGGATACCCTGCCCGCTCTGGTGGGGCCTCCCTGGAGGGGTGGGAGGGGCACGAAACCTGATAAATAATATGGTGTGCGAATACCCTGTCCGCTCTGGTGGGGCCTCCCTGGAGTGGTGGGAGGGGCACGAAACATGATACATACCATGGTGTGCGAATACCCTGCTCGCTCAGGCGGGGCCTCCCTGGAGGGGTGGGAGGGCACGAAACCTGATAAATAACATGGTGTGCGAATACCCTGCCCGCTCAGGCGGGGCCTCCCTGGAGGGGTGGGAGGGGCACGAAACCTGATAAATAACATGGTGTGCGAATACCCTGCTCGCTCAGGCGGGGCCTCCCTGGAGGGTGGGAGGGGCACGAAACCTGATAAATAACATGGTGTGCGAATACCCTGCTCGCTCAGGCGGGGCCTCCCTGGAGGGGTGGGAGGGGCACGAAACCTGGGTGTGCGAATGGCCCTGGAGGGGTGGGAGGGGCGCGAAACCTGATAAATAATATGGTGTGCGAATACCCTGCTCGCTCAGGCGGGGCCTCCCTGGAGGGTGGGAGGGGCACGAAACCTGATACATAACATGGTTTGCGAATACCCTGCCCGCTCAGGCGGGGCCTCCCTGGAGGGGTGGGAGGGGCACGAAACCTGATAAATAACATGGTGTGCGAATACCCTGCCGCTCAGGGCCTCCCTGGAGGGGTGGGAGGGGCACGAAACCTGATAAATAACATGGTGTGCGAATACCCTGCTCGCTCAGGCGGGGCCTCCCTGGAGGGGTGGGAGGGGCACGAAACCTAATAAATAACATGGTGTGCGAATACCCTGCTCGCTCAGGCGGGGCCTCCCTGGAGGGGTGGGAGGGGCACGAAACCTGATAAATAACATGGTGTGCGAATACCCTGCTCGCTCAGGCGGGGCCTCACTGGAGAGGTGGGAGGGGCACGAAACCTGATAAATAACTATGGTGTGCGAATACCCTGCTCGCTCAGGCGGGGCCTCCCTGGAGGGGTGGGAGGGGCGCGAAACCTGATAAATAACATGGTGTGCGAATACCCTGCTCGCTCAGGCGGGGCCTCCCTGGAGGGGTGGGAGGGGCACGAAACCTGATAAATAACATGGTGTGAGGAAAGGCATGGTATGGTATTGGATGGTGGATGCATGGTATGGTACGGTAAGGTATGGTATGGAGTGGCATGGGCTTGGTATGGTATGATACAATATGGGATGGTGGAGGAAGCGGGAGGAGGAGGAGGAGGAGGAGGAGGAGGAGGAGGAGATGTTCTGGGAAAACAAGAACCCAACTCAGGATGTGGGGAACAAAACAACAACATTACCCTGGCGACGTACCCAACCCCTTGCGCAATGCTGGGCATGAGTAGATTGGGAGACGTTATACAGAGGTGATGACGTGACATGGGCGCATATACTTCTGCAAGCGGCATTCATGAGGCTCACAGCCCCCCAGGGATTGCGATGTCCCGCTCAGATCTGCCTGGTGCCTCGCTTCGCTGGACCCACCAGCAGCCCTCGAAAATGGCGACAAGTTCGAAGATCGCAGCCCCCCAGGGACGGCGAGGTCCCGCTCAGGTCCGCGTGGTGCCTCACCCCGCAGGACCCACCAGCAGCCCCCGAAAGTGGCGACGGTTTCGCAGATCGCAGACCCCCAGGGACGGCGAGGTCCCGCTCAGGCCCGCGCGGTGCCTCATTCCGCAGGACCCACCAGCAGCCCCCCCCCCAAGGACGGCGAGGTCCCGCTCAGGTCCGCGCGGCGCCTCACTCCGCAGGACCCACCAGCAGCCCTCGAAAGTGGCGACGGTTTCGCAGATCGCAGCCCCCCAGGGACGGCGAGGTCCCGCTCAGGTCCGCGCGGTGCCTCACTCCGCAGGACCCACCAGCGGCCGTCGAAAGTGGCGACGGTTTCGCAGATCGCAGCCCCCCCAGGGACGGCGAGGTCCCGCTCAGGCCCGCGCGGTGCCGCATTCCGCAGGAACCACCAGCAGCCCGCGAAAGTGGCGACATTTCGCAGATCGCAAATCCTCAGGGACGGCGATGTCCCGCTCAGGTCCGCGCGGTGCCCCGCTCCGCAGGACCCACCAGCAGCCCCCGAAAGTGGCGACGGTTTCGCAGATCGCAGACCCCCAGGGACGGCGAGGTCCCGCTCAGGCCCGCGCGGTGCCCCACTCCGCAGGGCCCACCAGCAGCCCCCCAGGGACGGCGAGGTCCCGCTCAGGTCCGCGCGGTGCCTCACTCCGCAGGACCCACCAGCAGCCCTCGAAAGTGGCGACATTTCGCAGATCGCAGCCCCCCCAGGGACGGCGAGGTCCCGCTCAGGCCCGCGCGGTGCCTCACCCCGCAGGACCCACCAGCAGCCTTCGAAAGTGGCAAATTTCGCAGATCGCAGCCCCCCAGGGACGGCGAGGTCCCGCTCAGGTCAGCGCGGTGCCTCACCCCGCAGGACCCACCAGCAGCCCTCGAAAATGGCGACAGTTTCGCAGATCGCAGCCCCCCAGGGACGGCGAGGTCCCGCTCAGGTCCGCGCGGTGCATCACCCCGCAGGACCCACCAGCAGCCTTCGAAAGTAGCGACCGTTTTGCAGATCGCAGCCCCCCAGGGACGGCGAGGTACGGTGCCTCACCCCGCAGGAACCACCAGCCGCACTCGAAAGTGGCGACAGTTTCGCAGATCGCAGCCCCCCAGGGACGGCGAGGTCTAATTTGGGTCCGCGCGTGGCGTCACTGCGCTGGGCCCCCCAGCAGGCCTCGAAAGTGGCGACAGTTTCACAGATCGCAGCCCCCCAGGGATGGCGAGGTCTAATGTGGGTCCGCGCGTGGCGTCACTGTGTTGGGCCCCCCCAGCGGGCCTCGAAAGTGGCGACAGTTTCACAGATCGCAGCCCCCCAGGGATGGCGAGGTCTAATTTGGGTCCGCGCGTGGCGTCACTGTGTTGGGCCCCCCAGCTGGCCTCGAAAGTGGCGACAGTTTCACAGATCGCAGCCCCCCAGGGATGGTGAGGTCTAATTTGGGTCCGCGCGTGGCTGGGTGAAGCGCAGGGAGCGAGGGCTGTGCTGGGTGGTGGCGGACACAGTATGGGGCCACGAAACGCTGTACGGGGTGGTTGAAACGCAGGGAGCAGTGGCTGTGCTGGGTGGTGGCGGACGCATGCGGGCGGTGCCATTGGGACTTTCGGTGGAGCCCCCTATGGAGCCACGAAACGCTGTACTGGGTGGTTGAAACGCAGGGAGCAAGGGCTGTGCTGGGTGGTGGCGGACGCATGCGGGCGGTGCCATTGGGACTTTCGGTGGAGCCCCCTTATGGGGCCACGAAACGCTGTACTGGGCCGGCGAAACGCAGGGAGGAGGGAGGAGGGAGGAGGAGGGGGAAGAGGAGGAGAAGAGGAGAGGAACGCGGGGACCGTCTCTTCAAAACGATGACCCAACACCACAGGATGGTTGGGGAAAAAACAGATCTTCGTATAGTTAGATTCGTTATTGTCCCGCCAATCCTGTCTCCTCTGCGCTCCTCCCCTTCTCTCCCTATCCCATCCTCTCCCCACTTCTCCCCTGTGTTCTGCTCCCTGCAACCCCACCTCCAATGGATTCGCCTCCCCCAAGCCAGCCGCCCACCGCGTTGTTCCCCCCTTCGCTGCTCGGAGGTGGTCTCCACCGTAGACCTCATGGCCCGCTTCTTGGGCCAGGCCATGATCGCGCAGCTGCTGTGCGGCCCCTCGAGCCCCATCACGGGGACTCCCAGCCTGGGCGGGCAGGTTTTGTGCCGAGGAGGAGGAGGCGGATGAGGACGAGGACGAGGAGGAGGCGGAGGATGCAAGTTCTCGCCGTGTCGTCGTTCTCCCTCCCCCTCCAAGGGTCGCTGGGGGGCCCCGCTGCCCCGCCCTCAGGAGGGCCCCTCATTTGTGCCACGCGCATAACCGACCACGGGCGATAATAAAGCCTACCCCCCCCTTAACCTCTTCTGTATTTATTATCCCCGTTCAACAGGATTTAATTTTGGAGAGGGGCGCGGAGGCCGAACTTTATAATCCACGGGCCGAGCGCCTGCTGGCAAGTTGTATTGCCACGAGCCTCGAGATCCCTCGAGTCAGTCTTGTGCCGAGCGCCCAGGATCACCATCATCATCATCATCATCATCATCAGCAGCACAATCATCATCAGCATCATCATCATCATCATTTTCACTTACCTTCCCCGGGAAAATCCTTGAGTTAATCGCTTCTCTGATTCCACCGGCCCATTTTGCGAGAATGAGGAGGAGGAAGGTGGATGAGCATGATGAGGAGGCCTCTCGATGGCTTCTTGAAGCAGTGTGGGGCCAAACTTGGTCGTGGAGAAGGTGCCTCCGTGGGGCCTCTTGGGAGCATCTTCGAAGCTTCTTGGGAGCCTCTGGGGGGCCTCTTGGGGCCTCCGTGGGCCTCTTGAAGGCGTGTTGGCGGCCTCTTGGAGCCTCCTGGGGACCTCTCCGGGCCAAAAGCTTCCGTTCGGGTGCCCCGTCTGGGCTCGCTTTTACAGCCGTCTTGGAGGCGTCTTGGGCCATCTCGGAGGTCTCTGGGACTGTTTTGGGGCCCTCTTGGGCTTATCTTGGTGGCTCGTTGGGCCGTCTTGGGGCGATATTGGGGACCTCTTGGGCACGTCTGGACGCTGTGAACCCCAGACGTCGTATATGCGCAAAATGTACGTTTTCCCTAGGGCATGGGACGACTTTTGCTTGTTGGGGCCCTCTTGGAGAGCCTCTTTAGGCTCTCTTGGGGCTTCTCGGCGGCATCGAGGGCCGTGTGAAGGCCATCTTGGGCGTCTTGGACCGCTCGTTCGGTGACTCGGAGCGCTTTTGGGCGGTCTTGGAGGCCTCTTGGGGCCTTCAAGACAGCGCCTTTGGGCGTCTTGAGGCCTCTTGAGGCCTCAAGACGCCTCTTGGAGGCCTCTTGAGGCCTCAAGAGGGCCTCTTGGAGGCCTCAAGAGGGCCTCTTGGAGGCCTCTTGAGGCCTCTTGGAGGCCTCTTTTGGAGCGCTTTTGGGCTGTCTTGGGTGCCTCAGAGACCGTACCCAGGAGGAAAACCATCTCTGAGTAACAGTTGCCGGGCTGCGGTCGGGCGGCGGTCGGGGTACTTTTCGCCAGGGGACCCCCAGGGGCCGCCCCGCGCGCGCGAAGTAGAAATATTGTGAACCAGTTACCGGAGATCTTAGCACGCCCCTGGCCCGTTGGGCCGGCGAATTATCCCCGCCAGAACCCCGAATGTTGCATCCCCCGGTGATTATTTTCTCTCGTTGTCGGTTACCCTCACATTTACAGATACTTCGTCGGATCAACCCCCTCCCAGTGGCAACTGCCGTTGGGGGGGGATAGTGGCATCCAACCATGGATTCGAATGCTAGCAGCGTCAGCATCAGACGGAGGGTGTGTTGCTACATCGCTTGCAGGATGCTTGCGCAGTATCTTTTTTAGCTTGCACTCGGCTTGCCCGTAGCTTCCTTCTGCGCCTCTCAGTAGAGGAGTGATCAGTCCTGGTTGGGATCGCGCCAGGGATCTCGACAGAGGGTGGCGCGGCACGCAGACTAGAATGAAGGGGCCCGGGGACACACAAATAAATACACCCAAATAAACAAATCCCCATATTTTTCTGTATTTTCTGGGTTTCTGTCTTCCCCCCACTTCCCATATTTACCCATATTTTCTTGGGAATCGACGATTCATTGTGTCTGTGTGTGGTTTCCTTCCTGATAGCACAACCTCCAGGTTTCTCGCGGGCGACGTGTGCCGCGCCCCGTGCTTGCCACAGTGTTGGCACTGCCGACTGTAGAATCGGCACGAACGAACTAGAGTCCTGGATGGCCAACAGCAATTTCGTTCGTGCCGATTCGTACACCTTAGGCGATGCTTAAGAAAACTTAAATTTTCGGCCAGAGTCTCCATTATTCTTAATGTTTCAATGTAAATCCTAATGTTTGAATGGGAATTTGGGGTTTTATTCAAGTTCTGAGACTATGAATTTCTTAACCCATGATTTCTTAAGCATTTCGCAGGGTGTACGCGCCATCATCGTTCGAATTAGAATGGCGGACAAAAGAACTGTAAACGCCGCTGGATGGCCAACAGCATTTCCTGCTCATTTTGAGCAGGACTCGCGGTCGGCGTCGCCGCGGGCATTGTCTATATTTGAGACAGAAGGCCGCCTGGCCGACAGCGGCCGCTGTCGGTGTTGGACACGATGTGTTGCCTGGCATTGTACAAGTGTTTGCGCGTCTACGACGAAAGATCAATGGTGATTATGAATTACCGCTTGCAGGGTGTAGTGTCACGTCCCGCTGTGGATTGTTTTGGGGTCGCTGGGGCAGGGCTGGGGGGCACGTAGCAAACAGTGAATGTGTCATAAAACATCGTAGTAGAAGAGGGGAAAGAGAGAGAGAGAGAGAGAGCGCAAATTGTGAAGAGAACGGGCGCGGCTATTGTACGCAGCGCTTGACAAAGCCGAACAGGAGTAGGCTCCCACGAGCGGCAATCTTGCAACTGGATGCCGCAGAGTTGGAAGGAAGTCTCTTCTCGTTGCACGGTTCAGGCCAACTGGCAACGGCCCTGGGCATTATTCGGCCACTTGCACGGCCTGGCGACTCGAGTAGGCACCGCACCGCCTGAAAACCACGAGCGGGCCACACGCGTGCAGCCGCCTGCAAAAAAGCCCCATGTCCGTCCGCGTCCCAACCCGTCGTCGCTTGAGCACGCCCCCCCCTTCCGCAGAGAGAGCAAGCGCCGGAGCCGACGCAGCTGGCACAGGGAGCCATGCTCCCTGCCCTCTTGCCGCCGGCGCAGTCTGGGAGACACGGGCCAGGGCTTTCGCGGCACGAGCCGCCGCGAGCGCTCCCCGAGTAGTGCTGCCTCCCGTGCGCCCCAGTGAGTAGGCGTGTAGGAGGAAGAGGAGGAGGAGGAGGAGGAGGAGGAGGAGGAGGAGGAGGAGGAGGAGGAAGGGAGGAGGAGAGGGAGGGGGAGGAGAGGGAGGAGACGGAGTAGGAGGAGGAGAAGACAAGGAGGAGGAGGCCGAAATGCACGGTTTCCCCCAGGGCCGTAGGCGACCCGATGAGGAGGAGGAGGAGGAGGGGGAAAGGAGGAGGAGGAGGAGGAGGAGGAGGAGATGGAGGAGGAGGAGGAGGAGGAGGAGGAGGAGATGGAGGAGGAGGAGGAGGAGGAGGAGGAGGAGGAGGAGGAGGAGGAGGATAGGAGGGCGAGTCGAGGAGGCGCGGCTCTTGCCGCCCTCTCTTCCTCCCCTCCTTGTCACCGATCGCCGCCTGCTCTCCACCCCCTTCCCCTCCCCCTGATTCCCCCGTCCTTGCTCTCCACTCACTCCTCCATTGCTTCACACTCATTCCCTTGCTCTCCCCTCACTTCGTTATTCCCCCTTACTCTCCACTCCTTGCTCTTCCCCTTCCTCGCTCTCCACTCACTTCGTCCCTCCTCACACTTCTCCACTGCTTTAAGTATCCGGCAGCTTCACGATGGAGGGCGAGCCGTTTTCAAGAAAAGAGCATCGATTCAGCGCCGCGCGAAGTCGGCTAAAAAGCTTTGAGCAGTTGCACAGATTGATCGCCCCATTGCCGTTCACATTGGTCTGTGTAAAGTTTAAGACCGTCACGCGGGTGCAGGACAGTTCATTTCTCCACCGTGGAATCATTGCTCGAGCGTGTCTCAGATGGTACGGGCCGAACGCCAGACATGTTCAGCAGTCAAGCAGCTGTAAGAATTCTTTCTGAAACGTGCGCTCTCGATTGGACATATGCAAACAGGAGAGCACAACTCTGGCAACAGCGACACGGATGGAATATTAGCAAATGTGTTTCACAAAATCTGACCGTCTTTTGACACAACATTGATTCACACCGATGCAGGATGACAGATCTATTAGTTGCGAGCATGGAGGGCGGCTGGTTTCTTGCTTCAAAAATGAGATCTTGCCTGAATCGCATGCCCGCTGGTGTCAGTCCTTCAAGCTCGTCCAGGCAGGCATTCTCGCAGTGAGAAGGAACATGTGTACGGACTCGTGATAGAGGGAATTCGTGACGGATAGCGTTTTGCGGAATCGGTGATATTTCTTGGGTTTCGGTTGGTCTTCTTCTTCTGCCGTCATATCTCCCCTCCGCCTTCCACCCCCCGCCGCCTCCTCCCTCCTCCGCCTCCGTTCCTCCCGCCCTCATGTGCGCGCTCGGCGGCCACCAAGGCTCTGGTCAAGAGTGCTAGATGTCAAACCACACATGAGATCGAGCGCGTGAGCCCGCTCGAACGCGGCTGCCTCAAATCATTAGCGTGCGGTGCCAGTCGGGTATTCCAGCGAGCGATCGGTGTTGAGTGCCCTCTTCCGTTAGCTAAGCGCAAGCTTTGCGAGTCGGCCTGTCGATTTTGAGCGCAGCCGGCCGTGGGAGTGCTCTGCGTGCCAGGGTGAGCGTGAGGAGCCAGGTGGCGAGGGGCACACTCGGGAAGCACTGCCGGTGCAACCAAGAGAGAAAGTGGTCATGTGCTCTCGATGTCTGTTTGAGCACCCTGGTGATGATCACCCTCGGTCTGCTGCTGCTGGCTTTGCGTCGGTTGCCTGGGTCGGCTCGTTTAGAGGGGGTGTTGGCATGTAAAGGGCACATGTTCGTTGACGGCAGCTGCAGCAGGCGCATCATTTATGGTATCAACAAAGCGGGTTGGGAGGTAGCTCGGGTCGCCAAGCGGGGCTGTTTGGTCAAGTTGTCGGCCCCGTCCCAGTCCTTTCGGAAGCCACCCCCCAAGCGGGGGAGTTTAGTGATATTGCCATTGGAGCCCTTCAGGCTGCTGGCTCCATGGTTGAACGTGGTCAAGCGATGCACGATCCCCGTTGTCGAACAATTTGCGCATTACCGCTTTCATACGGTAAACTTGCACTGTTTCCATCAGGGCTCCAAATGGGCTCGATGGGTCCACAAAGTGAATGCCCATCTCGAACTTAGCGAAGCTGGGGGTTCTCTCAGAGAAGATGGCTAAGGCGTGGCAAAAACTAGATTGATAGAGCTGCAAAGATTGGAGCCTACATTCACCCTCGGTGGAGTGGTGCTGGAGATGCAGCCCTGGCCAAGGTGATAAATGTAGCGAGGGCTGTGTGTGAGCTAGCTTGTGCTCAGCTGCCTCCGTGGCCTAGGCTTGATATGGGAGACGCGCAGCTAGAAGCTAGACCTGGTCAGACCCAAAAGGCCTCGAAGGACTCCTAAGAAAGCCAGAGCCATCCGACATGGCAAGCATAGTTTTGTTCCTGTTGTCAAGAAACAGATTTGTGCGTTATGCCTATGCCATCAGATACCCAGCAAGAAACTCATCCTCGAAGCTTGTAATTCTCAATGCAGCAGCGCAGCACTTCGGAGTGCTCCAGTTGCGCTGGGAAGCGAGAGTCGGGTTGTCAGTGGGGAGGTTCGGATGGGGGTGACGTGCTCGATGCCAGCCACTCGGTCCAGTACTGGCCGAAGTGTCAGCTATTTGTCTGCAGCGCCTGCGGGCATACCGCCGTTGTTGACCCTCGCCAGCTGGCAGTACCTTGTCGACTGCCGATTTCCAGAAAAGGACAGGAGAACTTGGGCATGAATAGCCGGAGACTAATTCCTGGCCGCAGATGGCTAGCAGCTGCGGTCATGGAAGCAGACGTTTCCCGAGCCAGGCGAGGAAATGTGATTGGTCGTTGGTACCAGCCAGCTCTCTTGTATCAAGACGAGCAGCATCCGCTCTCCCATGATGGTGGGGGGGGGGAGCTCGGGAGGTGCTACCGCCTCAGTCAACTCGACCGTCGCGTCTGCACAGGGTGGGTGCGGCAGGGCACTTACAGGAGGTGTCCCCACCACCGTTGCTGCTTTCGTCGAGGTTGACAGCTACGTCCAGGGCGCCGACCCTGACACATGTGGCCGAGTCTCTTCCCGAGGAGGAGGGCGAGAGCCCGCTGGTAACGGCTACTCGGCCTTCGGGGGAGGGTGATTCGGACTAAGTTGTTTGAGGGGTAAGCTGTGCTTATGGCCTCTGACCAGGCAGGGTTTCACTTTCCACGGCTGTCCCGCTTTAGCTTTCGTCTCATGTTGTTCGTGGTTTGGTTAGTGTCACGGGCAGTCTCGCAGAGGTTGTCGATTGGTGCGTTGGCCGCGCGGGTCCTCTCGGTTCCGGCTTGCGGCGAGGAAGCCACGAGACGGTCTGCGCCCCCTTCTTGGGCACGGGGTTGTTGGTTCGCCCGAGGTTCCTCCCTTCTCGTTTGCGCCCTCGTGGTTTGAGCGGGCAGGGATGAGCCAGACGCCTTCACGCAAATGTTGCCCTCGGTCTCTATGGGTCCTTTGTCACCCTCAGGCGCCCAGAGATCGTCCGAGCCGCTTGCTTGTGCAGTATGTACTAGCCCCCTGCGTTCGGCAGGGCTGAGCCGTGAGCAAGTCCAGCCATGTTGCCGCAAACCCAGGTGATTGGTGCCCGCTGTTGCAAAAAATCCCGCCCTCGTGCGCCTCCCTCCGCAGCCCCCCCTGCCTCCTTCCCTCCCCCCTCGCCCTCCTCCGCCCTCCTCCCCTCCCTTCCCCCCTCCCTCCCGCTCACCCCCTCCCTCCCTCCCGCCGCCCCCCCCCCATCCGCGAGGAGCGCCTCCCCCGCCAGGGAGATGCTGCACCTCGGGGGCGATACAGCGGAGGACCCCCGCCGCCTCCAGTGGGGAGGGCGGCGGCCAGGGGAACAGGGGCCGAGAGGGGGGGGGGGAGAAAGCAGAAGGGAGGGGGGCGAGGAGGAGCGCCTCCAGTGGGGAGGGAGGCGACCAGGGGAACAGGGGCCGAGAGGGGGGGAGGAAGGAAAAGGAGGAGGAGGAGGAGGAGAAGGCCAGCTACGCGCCAGGAGGAGGAGGAGGAGGAGGAGGGCAGACGGAAGGGGGAGGAGGAGGAGGAGGAGGAGGAGGAGGAGGAGGAGAAGAAAGGAGGAGGAGGAGGAGGAGGAGGAGGAGGAGGAAGGAGGAAGAGGAACGAGGTGACGAGGAGGATAAGAAAGAGGAGCAGGTAGCGGTGGAGGAGCATTAGCAGGAGGCAGGAGGAGGAGGAGGAGGAGGAGGAGGAGGGGGGAGGAGGACGAGGACGATGAGGGAGGAGGAAGAGGAGGAGTAGGAAGGTGGAGGACGAGGACGACGAGGAGGAGGAGGAGGAGGAGGAGGAGGAGGAGGAGGGAGGAGGGAGGAGGGAGGAGAGAGGCGGAGGCGCTTGGACGAGAAAGAGCAGAAGCAGCAGCAGCAGCAGCAGCAGCAGCAGGAGCAAGAGCGGGGCCCCGGTACCAGAAACGAAGACAATCACCAGGCCGCGCCGATCCCCCCGTGACGGAGATGTCTGGGCAGTCCCCCTTCCCCTCCCTCCCTCGTCGCCAGGAGGGCTTCGTGGCCGCACCAGCCTGACCCCGCCGCCGCGCAGCGCCCAGTCGAGGGGTGGCATCCGCTGCGAGCTCCAGGGGTGCGGCGCGGCCTCGTCGTGGCGAGGGGCGCAGAGCGGGTGTCGTGGAGGCTGTTCTCGAGACCCGTGGCGGCGCGAAGAATCGGAGGGCGTCGATGGGGCGCCTACACGCAGGTCGTTGAAAGTGGGTATTTCGGGATCCCCAGGTCCCAATCTACTTCAAGCGCCTTCCTACTTCAAGAATCGATATGCTTCTGCTGTGTGTTGTTGTTCTCTGCGAGGGCCTGAACCCAATCTACTTGATCCGCCTTCCTACCTCATGTTTTTACCTACTTCTTCCGACCTGCATGTACAGTAGGCACGATGGAAATGGGTACGGAAATAATGGGCACGAAGGCCGACAGCAGTTCCTGTCCATCTTGAACAGGTTTCGTTGTCGACGTCGCCGCGGACGTTGCCATTTGAGATAGAAGGCCGCCTGCCCATCAGCGACCGCCTTCAGTGTTGGACAGCATCTGCTGTTGGACGTCGTACCACTTGTTTCTGTATCCAATTCGGTCCGGCTACGAGAACTGCGAGCATGCACCGATTTTGGTGTCAGGATGGGCCTGGCCAGAACCAGTGCATGTGCATAGTTCGCGTTCCTCTCATTCGGGCGCCAAACTATTCGGCTCCTGGGCCCAGCAACGGTGGCGTGTGCACTGGCTCCGGGCCCAGCGTGGGCCCGGCCTGGCCCAGCGCAGGTGTGCAGTTGGTGGCATCCTGGGGAGGGGGCGGGGCGAGTTGCGGGACGGAGGGGAGGCGGTCGTGCGACGAGTCCCTCCGGAGGCGGTTCTGGGCCTCTCTGGAGATCTCCCTTGGTCGCGACGCGGAATCGGCTTGGGAAAGTGGCCAGGGTGTTCCTGTCAAGGGGTCAGTATATCAAATATCGCGCAGAGCTGCTGTGGTCAAATTACCCTATACCGTCCACGCTGAGTACAAACTCATTCCAGAAAATCATCCACGAAGAATTGATGCAAATTAACGGTTGTTTTGGTACCACTCGTGTCAGAGATGCCAAAGTTACGGAGGGGGGCATTGTTGCACGTACATTTGGTTGGAATTATCGTGCCCATGATTTTGCAAGTACACAGCAGAGTGCATCTGTTGCTACAGTCCCCTGGCCCCTATTGTCAGACTTGCTCAGGGTTTTAGGCGACGTTATCCACAACGTGTCTGGACTCTGTCGCAGGGCCGTTCCTCGGACAAGTCGTTCTGCAATATTTCACCATGTTTCCAACGCGACGCCGTCTTCCAGGCAAATTCTGAAGAGTTCGCACCTGCCGCTCGACATCGCAGAATTCAATCTCTTCTTGTATTGTCCGAGGACGGTTCCAAAATAGCTCCGTCCAGTTCACTTGGATGATCGGGTTGGAAACAGACCGATTTCGGTTGGAAGAGATTCGGTTGGGTGTTGCGGCCGCAGTCGTGGATCCTTGAAGTCTGCGAGGGTGGCATGTGTTCAAGCGCCAGGGCAGGAGAATTCAGGGCCCGAGCGGCGTGGCTGAGTTCACCATTCTGCACGAGGCCTATTGGTTTACCTTCTGTTGTGGTTCCGGTGCGGGATGCATTGTTCCCAGGTTGGTGGTTTGACTGTGAGTTTGTCGTGCATGTTGGACCTTACTCGACCATGCCCGACTGTCAGATAAACCTCTTTGCCATTTGAGCTCGGGCACGACCGCTTCGGTATCTAACAAATGTCGTTTGGTGTTATTGTGTTTGCATCGCAAAAACATCCAACGTACCACAAAGGCAATGCGCGCAAACGGCGGACAGGGATTGCGATGTAGGACCACAGCACTAACACAGGATAACAACACACAGACTTCGTCGTCCAATTTCTTAGTTATCACCGAAAGCCTAAGCCCGGGTAATCGACGTCCGCAAGTCCCTCATGAACCAGTCTTTCTGGAATTTCCTCCCCAACGAATGTGCGCAGATTCCGTTCACCCATCAGTTTGGGTAGACATCCTTACGTCCATTCATATCCGTTCCCGTCCCGTCCACCAGCATGTACAGACTCTTTCAACCCACCAGTGTGAGCAGACCCCACCTTTTTCTTCGCGAACACGGTTTCTAATCACTACAGCTTGGTTCGCGGTCGAGATGTTCGGCCTTTGCTTGGAGACGACGGAGGGGCTTTCCAGACGAACAACATTTCTTGGGGAGCCCGCTGCTACGATTGATGCTGGCCGATAACGTCGGAGAATGGAGGCCAGCGCACGGGATTTCGGTAGCAGAGGGCTTCGGTAGCAGAACGGGGGTTGCGCAACCCGCACGGATTTCGGTAACAATCCACGTTCGCTCACAAGCCCCATGGATTTGGCAACTGCCTGCCGGGGTCCGGCAAGGGACCCCCAAGGGCTTGGCAACGCGAGGGACCCGCCAATTTTTTGAAGACATAGTCCAGCTGATTGATTGTCATCCAGGCTCCCAGGTGTTCGATTGCCGACCCTTCTTTCTGATTTCAATATCAATGCCCTATGTTCCCCCCTCCCTTTGTCGTTTCCCTTCGCCCTGTCGTTTCCCCTCCACTCGTCGTTCGCCCCTCCCCATGTCGTTTCCCCCTCCCCCTGTCGTTTCCCTTCCCCTCTGCTGTTTCCCCTCCCCCTGTCGTTTTCCCTCGCCCTGCCGTTTCCCCTCCCTTCTCCTCTTTCCCATCTCCTTGTCGTTTCCGCTACCCTTGTCGTTTCCCGTCCCCTCCCCTTGTTGTTTCACCTTCCCTCTCCTCTTTCCTTTCCCCCTGTCGTTTCCCCTCCCCCTGCCGTTTCCCCTCCCCTCTCCTCTTTCCCCATCCCCCATGTCGTTTCCCCTCCCCTTGCCGTTTCCCCTCCTCTTGTCGTTTCCCATCCCCTCTCCTCTTTCTCCTCCCCTTGTCGTTCCCTTCCCCCTGTCGTTTCCTCTCCTCTCTCTTCTTTCTCCTCCCCTTGTTGTTTCCCCTTTCCCCTGTCGTTTCCCATCCCCTCTCCTTTTTCTCCTCCCCTCGTCGTTTCACCTCGCCCTGTCGTTTACCCCCCCTTTCCTCTTTCCCCCCCCCCTGTCGTTTCCCCATTATCTTGTCGTTTCCCCTCCCCTCTCGTCTTTCCCCTCCCTCTTATCGTTTCCCCTCCCCCCGTCGTTTACAATTACCCAATATGAAAATATTCTCCCTCTTCCCCTGATGGCGTCCGGGTGATGGCCGCGCATTCTCCGCGTACTGTTTTTTTACACAGGATGCCCGGGAAATCCCGGGAAACGACTCTCGCTGAGGCGCCGGCGTCATTTTCGGGCCGAACGCCCCCCGCGTATTGTTTTTTACACACAGGATTCCCGGGAAACGGGTTTTCGCTTGCGTTTTTTTTATGATGCTCTCGCTGAGGCGCCGGCCTCATTTCTGCTCCCGAATCGTTCCGAATCGTGCTCCCGCTGCAGCGTGGGCCTCATTTTCGGATCGGTGTTTGGCCTCCGTCGTTCAGGATGGCGTTCTCGCCCCAGCGCGGGCCTCTTTCTCGCGCGCCCATCCGCCCGCCACCACCACCGCGCACCACCACCACCACCACCACCACCACCACCACCACCACCATCACAACCACCACCACCACCAGCACCAGCACCAGCACCAGCACAGCACCAGCACCAGCAGCAGCACCACCACCACCACCACAACCACAACCACGCACACACGCACGCACGCACGCACGCACGTGCACCACCACCCACTACGCACGCGCGCGCGGAGCCACAGGTCCGCTACGACACGCGTCCGCGGATAGAGAAAATCAGCGCCATGGTAAGGGATTGGAGGGAGGGGTAGGACGTCAGATATGACGCGAGCGCACCTAGCTTGCCCCCCCCCCCTCTCCTCTTTCCCCTCGCTTTGTCGTTTCCCATCCCCTAGGCTCCCCTCTCCTCTTTCCCCCTCCCCTGTCGTTTCTCCTCCTCCTCCTGTCGTTTCCCCTCCCGTACCCACGTGTTTCCACGTTTGTCCCGCTCTGGGGCGAGCCACACGTGTTTTCATTGTTTGTTCCCGCTCTGGCGCGCAAAGGGCCCACGTGTTTTCACAGTTGTTCCGCTCCGGCGCGAAAAGGACCCACGTGTTTTCATGCGCCCGGGCCACCCAGGGGGGATATCTAACATGTCGTGGTTGACCGCCTGGCCCCGAAGAATGAGTGGGGGGGTCGAAAAGCCAGGACCAATTAACAAATCGACACCACATGCGTAATATCTTGACACGTTCAATCCCGGGCCTTGGGAGGGCCTGCTGCGGCCTCTCGGGGAGGCCTCCTGCGGCGAAAGGTACCCACGTGTTTTTTTAGGTTTGTTTCAATATGGGATGTAACGACCCACGTGGTTCCACGCTTTTTCCACTCCAGCGCGAAAGGGGCCCGCGTGCGTTCACGCGTGCTCCGCTATGGAACGACAGAGGCACGTGTGTTTCACGGTTTGTTTCCGTTTTGGCGCGAGATGGGTTGAGGCCATCTCGCGGGCCCTCTCGAGATCGTCGCGATCGAGATGCGCCATGAAGGCGCAGGGCCGCCATTGGCCGGGATTCTCGGCGAGCGTCGCGCTTGTCTTCACTGGGCTCTTGGCGCGGCCCCCGCGGAGGTCATGCAACCGAGACAATTTCGCCCCTTGGACGGCGAGGGTTGCGAGCAGATCGCGAAAGTTTACAATGCTGCGACCATCGAGATGCCCCCGAAATGCTCGCGACCCAGCCCGCATCGCGCCACCCGAGGGCCCGGGGCGCACACGGGTCGCGCGGCGCGGCGCGATGCGCACCAGCAATTCCGCGATAAGCGATTGCCCTGCGCTTGGTTTTCCGCCGCTTCAGCCGCCGCGCGAGTTCAGCTTCGCCAAGCGCGACTGCCGCTTGACAAGGCGGTGCGTCGCTGGTGTCCGAGGCGAGCACGGCCGGCAGCGCTTCGCTGGGGGCCCGCAAAGGCGCAGGCGACGAGGACCAGCATCGAGGCGCGGAACCACTCGGGGC